CCAATATCACCCCACCATAATGTCCACCAGGAGTAACTAACGCCCCACCGGAAATGTGCATCCCCCCCTCCAGGAACATGTCTGGGGATGCCCCTGTAAGGGGGGCATGCTTTCCACTGACCCCTGACCTAATTTTAGCAGGGGGTACCTGAGACCTGAAAATTATTTCAAGGGTTACCCTGGGGTAAAAAGGTTGAGAGAGGCTGATTTAGAGGCGACCTAAAAGCTTTAGTGCAGTAAAACTATAGAGGTCTATAAATCAGACCAAAAAGAGGGACAACTGAGGAGAAAAGGGGGACAGAAATTTTGGTTTCAATAAAGGAACAGTCCAAATGAGGGACAGCTGGGAGCTATGGGGTTGTCAGCCCTTCCCCGCTCCATTCCATACCCTGTAATCTGTGCTGCTGACAGGTCCTCTTTATCTTTGACTTGCAGAATGCACAGATGTTCTGACTTTCAGTGTGAGATGTGTAATCAGAATGGGTTCACAGACTCTCCCCGGCAGTTCCGGCTATCCAGCGATTCCCGAGGGCGACAGCGTTTTATCACATCCTCGCATCCCCACCGTACGCTGACAGCCTTTCGCCCGCAGGAGTCTTCCATATTGCCGCATATCTCTCGGGATCCATCCCGGGCCCTCGTCACATTGACGGGTGATGGACCTCGGCGCTACCCGACACACACACACACACACACAGGAGGTGTAAACACAGCCGGGAACAAGTTAAAACTTTGCTGGAATGTCTGTAGTGAGCCGTCTCTACACACCAACAATACAGAGCGAGAGATGTATAGAATTCTATAGAGAGGTGCCAGAGAAGAGATCAGGCTGCGCAGACAATCATCAGCATGGAGGAAGATCTCCCTGTTTGCTGAGGTCTTTGGGGGTCACTGGGGAAGTGCAATGCAGATACTGGTGTTGTCGGAGTAAATACATTAGAGGTCTTGCATTGGTACTGTAAAGGGTTCGATGTATCCAAATATTTAAATTTTGGGGGGGATGCAGAAGGGTCAGATCCCCCGCTGACAACTCCATGGCATGATCTTTGCATTGAAGTCCCCATGGGCAGCTGGTGCAGCAATTACTAGGAGGTCTCTCTAATCAGGAAAGTTAGGTGGCCCCCTAATTAGCTAAAACACGGACACAAGTAGTCAAAATATCGGGCAGTCAGGGACAACCACGGGGTCCTGGCGTTCAAACTTGAGTGCATGGAGGAGGCACTGGACATGGTCGGACACTGGAACTTGGGTAGCAAGGATGTCTGAAACACAAGGGGCAGATAAGTCTCTCTCTCTGCTGGCTGTGTCTCCTTGCTTTGTCTCCTGGCTTTCTTTCCTTACTCTATCCTCGCTCTCTCTTCTCACTCATCCTCCTGGCTTTCTCTCCTTGCTCTCTCTCCTGGCTGTCTCTCCTTGCTCTCTCTCCTTGCTCTCTCTCCTGGCTTTCTCTCCTCGCTCTCTCTCCTGGCTGTCTCTCCTCGCTCTCTCTCCTGGCTGTCTCTCCTCGCTCTCTCTCCTGGCTGTCTCTCCTCCCTCTCTCTCCTGGCTGTCTCTCCTCGCTCTCTCTCCTGGCTGTCTCTCTTTTCTCCCTCTCCTGGCTGTCTCTCTTTTCTCCCTCTCCTTGCTGTCTCTCCTGGCTGTCTCTCCTGGCTCTCTCTCCTTGCTCCCTCTCCTGGCTGTCTCTCCTGGCTCTCTCTCCTTGCTCCCTCTCCTGGCTGTCTCTCCTGGCTCTCTCTCCTTGCTCCCTCTCCTGGCTGTCTCTCCTGGCTCTCTCTCCTTGCTCCCTCTCCTGGCTGTCTCTCCTGGCTCTCTCTCCTTGCTCCCTCTCCTGGCTGTCTCTCCTTTCTCCCTCTCCTGGCTGTCTCTCCTGGCTGTCTCTCCTCGCTCTCTCTCCTGGCTGTCTCTCCTTGCTCTCTCTCCTTGCTCTCTCTCCTTGCTCTCTCTCCTTGCTCTCTCTCCTGGCTCTCTCTCCTTGCTCTCTCTCCTCACTCATCCTCCTGGCTGTCTCTGCTCGCTCTCTCTCCTGGCTCTCTCTCCTGTCTCTCTCTCATGGCTGTCTCTCCTTGCTCTCTCTCCTGGCTCTCTCTCCTGGCTGTCTCTCCTTGCTCTCTCTCCTGGCTGTCTCTCCTTGCTCTCTCTCCTTGCTCTCTCTCCTTGCTCTCTCTCCTGTCTGTCTCTCCTGGCTGTCTCTCCTGGCTCTCTCTCCTCACTCATCCTCCTGGCTGTCTCTGCTCGCTCTCTCTCATGGCTGTCTCTCCTCGCTCTCTCTCCTGGCTGTCTCTCCTGGCTCTGTCTTGCTAAAAAAAACTAGAGTGTTTGGGTTTCACTTGAAGAAAAGGTGGCAATCCTATCTGCTGCTTCCCTTCTGACCGACAGCCAGCACCAGGCCCATGATGCTCTTGATCCAGCCCTGTCCATAACATGGGGGGCCTTTTGTAGGTCACAGAAGACATCTAGGAAGACTGATAACATTGCGATTTCAGCTCACAGGAAGTGTCCAGGGCACTGGATTTCTGGCAGGATCAATAGGTATTACGCTGTACTTGCTGAAAATCTTATTACCCTGGAAACAGGAAACGAATGCAGCTGCCACATCTCAGGACTGGGTTTAGTTATACATTAATAAGCCGACCGGTGATAGAATGGAGGAAGGATCAGGGAGAGCAAAGTATAAGCAGATTGAAGCTTCTCAGTCCCCGGCCAGGTGCGGGAAGTTTCTGTGTCTACGTCTGTAGATGGGATCAGTAACTTGTATCAGATGTAACATTTCATGTCGGGGTTTCCTGATATCTGTAGCATGTTCCCCCGCTGATACATCTAGATTCATTGTAGCTCATCGGATTGGCCGGCTCAGGTCCCTGGTCGGTAGATCCCCCGGATGATTCTAGATTGTGAACAGTTGTCTCCGCTCCCTAGATGACCTCTCTTCAGCTGTCTTGGGTGGGCCGCTCTTGTGAAATCCCCCCCCCCCCCCCCCCCACCCCCCCATGTTCTTCTCTTGTTTACCACTGCG